GTATGCGCCCCCTTAACGCTTGGTCTGTTCCGTGCTCAGCCCGGTAGATTTACACAGCGTGAATAGCGTTGTATGTAAATAGTGTAGCGACGTATATGTCCGCTGAATATTTCGGCATGTTTTCCTTACGTGATAGACATATATACCGGTAGTCTACAAGCATATATAGGACCATGTCATTCAAGTCGCGCTGAATTGTCCCAGAACTCAGATGAATTTAGCCCTTACGTCATAAACATTGTATACTCCTCCCCCAAACTCGACTAGTCCGCTTCACGTGCCAGCGGTGGACTGGAGTACGTTGTATACCCTCCAACAGAGACTGTGTCGCGGTGTACGAGTCAGCCCGATTGCGAGCTTTCCACAGCTTCAGGGGCTAATCCAGGAATGGATTGATTCTGTGTCAATGTGTTGTTTGTACTTCTAACATAATCATGATCATTTGATTAGGATTTAATCATATTTTGAGGAGAATCGATTACGATATACGACTGGGAAACATTCCGAATCAACACAGGTGAAAAATCGCCGTGTTTGGCAGACGACACATAAACCCGGCACGTGAAGTGGGGATCCCACACTCTACTTTCTCTTCGCGTTTTATATTCGGAGGAAAATTTGCTCCGTTAGATATTTTTTCTTCAGGTCTTTGGCGAAGAGGGTAGACACAATGCGGATTTTACCCAAATGTGTGGTGCTCATTCTCTCTGTTGTGTTAGCGACGGTGGAATCCCAACCAGGTAAGTGATCATATTTATAATATATCATATGTATACCTGGGACCTAATATATGTATTTCAAGGTGTCGTATCGTCTGCTTAATTATATTATACCTGCTTCTTTACGTATTTCTCCACTCCCATTCATTCATACTCAACACAGTTTGTAAACCCTATATCACTAGTGTACTAGAACTGTGTATAGGACCTTCAGACATACCGTGTTATACCTGTGTATGTTACCTGTGTGCACAGGTAGGTCCCCTTTACCGAGGCTCTGGGGTAGGGTTGTGCCGACCCATCAAGCTAATTAATCGCTTTTATTTAGAACGGACGGGACGTTATATAGATGAAGATTCAACAGCCCTTTGGCAATCTGATAAGTTACGCAAACTTTGTATATATATAGAGAGAGAGATCTACAAAGAGAGTGTAAAGCAAGATTATAGATAAATAAAGGTACATATATACAGAAATCAACATCTCCAGACAGTCTGGCTTGAATTCATTATCCTTCTACAGATGTGTACAAATTGATAAGTTATGTCAAGAAAGCATGTTTTTGTTTACTACAAAACATTTAAATCGGTGCTGGAGGCAGAAACTGATAAAACTTATCAGTGATGGGTTAATACAACTTTTGGAATTGGGGAAGGGAGGAGATGTACAATGTTAGGCAAGTCATCCATGTTCCTTTGAGTGTGTAGCATGTCTATCACGATACACTCTCGAGAGTGTATGGTCTGTCAAGGTTTCATTTGAGTCCCAGCCGTGCCAGTTGCAATTTTCTGATGTCATTTAAATTTATTCCTGACAAAATTTCTATCTAATCCATCTATAGCTCTGGTAGTGTGCCAGGTTGAATATTTATTGTCATCCCTTTCCCCATGGCAGTCCTATATTACATTAAAACTTAGCCATGATGTAATCATGAATGTCCAATAAACTGCCTCAATTCGTTTTTGCCACTTATTCAACATTTTTCGTTTAATATTCATAACTTGATGCTAGTGAATCTTCGTGAGATTTCGACTGGACCGATGTCTGACTCTATTATATAATTTTTCTTAACATTCTTTTGTCATTTTTTAAGTCAAAGACAAAATTGTTGAAGTTCTTATAGCTGAAACTTGCTAAACTCATCTATCCAATGTTCCAGTTTTCTGTATTTAGAAATGAAAGTGTTTGTATGTTTTATTTTCATTCCCAAACGGTGAAAACCAGAGATTTATTCCCCCGAATTCATGCTTTTTGTATGCAATATATTTTCCCAAAGTCACAAGGCACAAGTCCCTTTAGAAAGAAGATAAAAAAAAATCACTGAAAACTTGCAGAGGGAGGGTGTGTGTTTATGCAGTCAAATATGGTTTACATACTGTACTAGCAAAATAATCCTTTAACATCACAGCCCAGTGGTTGTGACAAACTGACCTAGACTATAGTTATAATCTGTGATGTCCTAAATGCCATAGGGCAGTTATTATTAAGTTGGATTTTACACCAGTATACAGGTATATATGGAATTTACCGTATTCACTCAAAAAAAATCTTCCAGTGTACATGCAACAATATTAGAAATAATATATATATATATATAGTAGATAATAAATAAATAAGTCCTTGCGAAGGAAAATATAGAATAAAAACATAATGTTTTCAGATCGTCCGCTAGGCCTCTCTGCCTTCTACTGTGGGCTTCTTCAGGCGGATTCTATATATAAGCTTATTAGCTCTTTTGGATAATCTGGATGTACCGTAATGAGCCTCTTAAAAAGTTGACTGAACTACATTATTAAAAGTTAATTAACTGAGTCACTCTGTAGAGTATTGGGAAATATGGAATGTACCGTATCCATGCAAACGATAGCCTAGTGTTACATATCTTACAACATGGGTTAGTCAGGATTTGATGGTTGATCTGGAACCTACTGTAGTCTCTGTGTGAAGCTGTATTTTATATACCGAATGTATATTGCTAGAGTTTCTTTTTCATGTAATTTATAGCCCATTCCTTTTCATTTTTGTTAATTCATTCACCCCTGTAGACACATTTGAACTCTTCCAAATCAAAAGTTGGAAAAGTTCATTATGAAATTTCAGGGGTGAATGAGTTAATATACAGTTTTTAAGGATCCTTTGTTTGAAGTCCCCGCAAGATATATTTTTAATTGCTTATATCTTTCTCTATGGTAAAATAAATGCACAACAAACCCAAGGAGCCTTAGAAAAATCTATTCATTTTCAATAAACGTGATCAAATATATCAAAAGTTTCCTCGATTGTGACGATCTAAATGGCCTCCCTGAAATTGAAGACCTTGTCAGAATGGTATGTTAAATTGCATAATGACTGATGTCTGAGAACTACGGAATCATTGGTCTAAATGTGTCTCGCATAGTAAATATGTGACCTGGGGAAAATGACTGTCCAATTAGTTTATGAATGTACCTGTGTGTAGTTGTGTAATAAAGTACACAGAGGAAAAGTAATAACTGCAGGCTACTTCGCCTAAACTGATTGAATTTGTAGTTTACTAAGATAATTTATATATCATATCATTCATTAAATTTGTGCACAACAAGTAACAATTGGTAATTGTGTCTGTAATCTACTTACAGATCTGTCAATGAATTCTTTAAAATTCAACCTACGCTACCTCTTGTGTGGTATTTTGAAATATGACAACATCGACGGTCTACAATATTAAATATATTCGTATACAGAGGTATATGAACACATTGAAATAAGAACTTAATTTCAAGGATGGAGAAAAATACTTGACACAGTTTATTACTTATTGTAATTTAATTCTTATTTATGGACATTTTTTCTCTCTCATTTTTTTGTCCAATGTGTTGTGAAGTAGACGAGTCACATCCGAGGCTTTACACCATTACGCTAGCTCATATATACCATAACTCATAGTCCACTCCAAAAGCCTAAAAAATGGCATTGAGGAATGATGCTGGTTATGCTGAGATGTAATACTTTGAATTAAACTTAACCCTTTCACCACTTTAGACTATAATGGACTCATCCATATCAATGCATGGTAGAGTCTACGAGAGTTACATAGGGGTGAAAGGGTTAAAGTGGTACAATTCTGTTATTGTTACTAAATATCTGTGGTGAGGGGAAATAGTTCAGCCTTCAGCGGGCAAAGTGTCAATCCCAGGGATTTGATCATGATTGCAGGACCTCTTGATTATAAAACACGAAATTTATCCGCTGGACTTGCAGCATCATTTTTGTAGTATAAATACGTGTATTGTTTTTAACCAAATTAAGAAAAGTTGAAAAAAAGTTCTTACTCTTGCAGACTATGATTGTCTTTGTATTGTAGGGAAACTGGACTGGTAGCTAAATTAGTAGAGCGTCCGTCTAGAGTTTGGAGGGTTCCGGGATCGAATCCTTGTCTGGCCATTGCATTTTAGAGAAATTAACACAAGTTCGCTGAATAATAACTCCACAGTGACTGTACGTAGTAGAAAAAATAAAACTATTTGAAAGGACATCAGATACATTTGATCAGCGATATGGAGCGTGGATTACAGATTAAAACCAACAATACAATATCATACAAAATTAACGTTCATTATATTCAATATATTTCAACTGAATATCATGAATATAACATAATAAAATAAAATGACTGATCTAACAGGGTGCCTTATTAAGGTAACATGTATACTTACCTCATACAACCCTGAAGACACATTTGAACTCTTCCAATTCAAAGGTTGGACAAGTTTATATGGAACTTCAGGGGTGAATGAACAAACTTGTGCTCATTGAAAAGTTCACCAGTTTACCGGTATTTATGAAATTTCTTAAGTGATTAAAGGAAGTGAAGGAGTGTGAGAATATAATCTGATTTCTCACAGTTTTTGAGCAATTCAGTACATTGCAGTTTTATTTTTACATTAGAATAATATGTTAACGACAAAACGAGCATTTGCAATTTTTTGTAACATGTTAATGAATATATCATGCAATGGTATATAGCTGTGTTGGAGGCTATTACGATAACTTTTAATCTATACATGTCGGTTTGACGTACTTGAGGGATTGCAGGACCGGTCTTTAGAAATTACAACTCAAGAGTGCAGACTTCCAGGTTTATCAGAGAGTATTTAAACAAGATGGGAAATGAATGAGACGAGCGTTTTTCGGTGTTAATAAGCATGCACCTGTGTTTAACATGTTTGAAGTCCCGTTTAAGTAAAAAAGACAAACTTCGACCTTTTCTTTCAGAGGAATGTTGACACTGAGCTGTACGGCATGTTCCAATTGAAAATAGTAAATTTCCCCAGCAGATTTCACAGCAGTATGACGTCTGATTAAATTTCTCTAACAAATTCCAGATATATATGTAATAAATATTTACTCTTTATTAAATTTAATGGGGTTTAAGCGTCTCTTAGGTTGTATATGTTTTTTGTGTAAAATTTGTTACATAAAACTGCTGAGAGTTATCAAGCGCAGAAAGTTTTATAAGGGTGTACCTCAGCTGCAAAAAAAATCAACTGATAAGAGTATTTGACTGCTTAAGTCTATATAACTATTGAGGGCAGATGGCTCTTGTAACCGATTCAATAGAATATGATTTGTTAACTGTTTCTATCAACACATTTGAGGGGTAAAATTTTGGCAGGAATTTTCATTTCTATCTCGTGTTGCTTCTAAAATGCTGATATGAAAGAATATAAAAATAAATTTTGATATGGTTAATAAATTCTGGGAGAATTAAAACATGATGTGAAATAAATGTGTAAATTTATTGTGTACTACCATATTGAAAAAAATAATAACCCAACAGGGAAAGTGTCATACTGTATTTATGAGTCTATAATTGCACTAGCTCTTGCTGTGTATGACCATTGATAAGCCCATGTCTAATAGTAAGCCGTCCTACTTATGTGAAACTATTCACATTCATGTGCTTATATTTTGTGGATATCAGAAACTTGCTTTTTTGGTTGGGACATGAAAGTTGTTCCAAAGATCTAACTTTCAACATG